ACAAATAAACTTTGTAAAAGACGATTGTCTCTGGTTTATTTGAAACTCGTATTGAGATGGTAATGTCTCCTATTGAAGCGTCACGCAAATGAATTATTCCAATATAGTGGTTAAGTTTATAACCAACAAGACGAAAGGATAAAGCGCAATGACGATAATAAGCAAATCTGAGTCTAACACTATTTTTGTAATAGTAATAACGACTTTCCAAATTTTAACTTTCAGAGTTCTTAAGTTTCAAAACTAATTCACCTAAAGTGATTGGATCTCAAAGAGAAATGTAAAAATTATGAAAATTATGCAATTAGAATTATTACAAAAATAAATCTAGAAATCATTAGAAATGATCTGTTTAGAAAGGTAGAATCTCAATTTTGCAATTTCTTGTTCTTTTAAAATCAAATTCGAAATTTGACAATTAATAATCATAAACCAGTATTTTCTTTTTCAAGTAAAATGCAGGTAAAACAATTAATAATGGTACACCAGTATTTTCCTTTCAGGAGAAATATGGTTAACTTTAAAGAAAAGTGTGATAAAGTTAAAAGAAGAAACAAGAAAAAGATCGATAGGTGTCTAAATGGTTAAATCGCTTTAACGTTGTTCAAACAGACACTATAGCTAACCGCTGGGGTTAGTATTGATAATAGTAACTGATGCTAAAGGCTTTAGCACAGGCCTCAATGCAAACAACCGCTCAGCTTTAGCTTAGCCTAGCTTAGCTTAGCGTAGCGTTTGTTTGGTTTGTTTACAAAGTTCGAGGGGGTCAGAGTTCACCCGGAAGTGTTGGTTAAGACTTCCGTGTCACGATAGCAACTAAAGCGATCAAGCGAACGCTAGTGGGCGAACCGTGAATTGCAGTTGGTCAGTTTGTTAGAGTTCCATGCAATGTGAGCGCATTTCCATGTTCACAGAACATGTACAGTAACAATCGACCATATTACGGGAAATGTCGGCGCATTTCACACTGTTCAAATAAAATACACCACTCGTAGCTGGGTTTACGACATGGGGCTTCACTCAGTTTGTTGAGAGTGATAACTTTAAGCACGCGGCGGTGCGCTGTATGAGAACGATGATCTCGTCTCTGTCTTTGTGCAGGTTTAGTTTCACACAAAGTAACAGGGTCTAACTTGGTTCAGTTTCTAAACAAGCTTTACTTGGACAAAACTTAAAATAAGTCCTATTCAATTACACTCGGACACGCGCAGTGTTTACACGATAAATAATTGAACAGACATACACAGAAAAGCATTAACTGTTTATCGTTAACTGTTTATCACGGGGATCACGGATAGTGGGACACGCACTGGTGATCAAATAAAATAAACAGATAAGCATTAAGTGTTTATCACAATGGAACACGCACTGCGATCAAACAAATAAACAGATAAGCATTAAGTGTGTATCACGGAGATCACAATGGAACACGCACTGCGAACAAATAAAATAAACAGAAAGCATTAAGCATTTATCACGGAGAAGCAATGGAACACGCACTGCGATCAGATAAATAACTTTAAGGCTTTTATGACTAGATTCGACAAGGAACACGCTTGACGCTCTGTCAGGAAAATATGTTAACTTACAGGGTTAGTTTAATTATTGCAGTTTGATTTCGTTCGGCTTCTCTGACTGATATAAACACACACACAACGTTATAGCTCTATGAAAGACTCTGGAACACGCAGATGTCGATCAGCTATAACGAGGTATTTTTCTGGAAATAAGGAACACGCTTAATTCCTACCTTATTGTAGTGTGAGATCTTATATCTTATGCAGGTATAAAGAAAACAAAATAGGCGACAGACTAGACTTCTCAGCTTTCTCTGGGAGCTTCACTCACAGATAACAGCAGCAGCAACATTCAACGTGCGCGCGGCGCATACGTCACACACAGACTCGCGGAGGTTCGGATCTCGCATCCGCAACCAAAAATGAAAAGATAATTTCTTGATATATGTTCACAATTTAGGTTGAACTGCGCCCGCATTCTCCACCAATATGTAGCAAATGCAACATATAATAATATACATAAAATGTATTAAAGGGGGCCGAAGGCCAATTTAGCTCAAAGGGAGATGATTCATTGATTTGCAATGAATCTATGGAACCGAATCACTGAACCGAGCAAATGACTCGCTTAGAGTTCATTTGAACGGGCCGTAATTATAACCAAATCTATAGTGAAACACTATGTCTTAGCAAGGTAACTTTAAATCGAACAGTACAAGACATTAAATGTGCAAACACGACACAAGAAGATTTATCTTTTCAAATATATGGACAAGACTTTATTAGCTATTCTAAGCACAAAACTAAGGTCTAAACATAATCACGCACACACACATTCATACAGTCGCGAAAGGGCAAGAGTGAGTTGGAAAGAGTGAGAGAGAAAGTGTCAACTTTCTATATGCACGTAAGACATAACCTGAAAGGACCACCAAGCATTAATTTGAACCTTCATTTCTTAGAGAGGTTATTCAATTAACATCAAAGCACCAGTTCAGTTAGAGCCTAGAGTACTTGCGCTTTGTAGTGGCTGAGGGAATTCCCTTTGTCTGCGTCGCGTCGAAGGGGGGTTTCCCGGCCGGGTCCGTTGCGTGGTTTGTTGTCTTTGAAGTGCAGGGATGGAAGTTTCGCCGCTGGTCACGTGTGATTAGCAAGCGAATGAGAGTCTTTTCCAGTTCGAAGCGCGTTGCAAACTTAACTTTGAAACGAGACTTTTACGAAAAAGGAAATAAAGGAAAGAAATGAAAGTAAGACGAGTCGGATGGCTTGACTGAGCTGAATAGTAACCCTGATCTTGATGGGTTATTCGTCTGCGGGTCGAATTTGGTCTAGTCGATGTAGAAGCATGCGAACATGTTCTTTGTTTCAAAGATAAGCACGAACAGAACACTCTCTTGCTGGTTTTAGAGAGAGGCACGGACTTAACAGTTACAGAACAGAACAAAAATCACCTGAAATCTTCTAAAATCTACAAAAATCACATCTTGAGGTCCTTTGTTCGGATCTTTAACTTAAACTCTAGTCCAACCTCCAAGAAGCTTCTGGCCAATTGGAGGCGGATCTACTTCTTGCTTTATCATAATTTATGCATGGTCTGTGAGCTGGTCTCCAGCACTTAGCAGAGACAAAAGACCATCGTTTTAACCTTATGATAATTATAATAATAAAACAAAACCTTTTACGCAGATTTCAATCAAGCCATCTTTTGAATTAGGAGAATACGATTCGTTTAAGAGTAAATGAGGCATTCACACTTCTAATGGTTGTATAACAATTACAAGAGTTAATAGTTAACAACAATTACATGATTCATATGTGATCTAAGCATTAACAAACAACACATGAATTGCAGAAAGCAATGAGACTTGTGAGGTTTGATTAAAAGTTCAAGAATTGTTCTGTGGTGAGTTTATATGATTTTATGTGTGAGATCTCCGATCTCAATAGTAAGGTTACTGAGAGTTCAACTCGAAGGGGGACGAGGCAAAGGTGTTCTGTGGAACATCTCTGTCAGGGCATCAGAGGGGTCTTTGATGTGAGATCTCGTTCCACCATTTTGGAGCTGATTTGTCTTAGTTAAAATTACCATATTGACACGTTCGTCCTGTTTAGTGCCCATCTCTTGGGCCTGTGGGGCAATAAAAGTCCTTATCTGCAGACAGCACGGAGTCGTTCCGTGACTCTGGAATGTGGGCTCCAGAACTTGGAGTGTTGAAGCCATGTGAATTAATCCCATGAGAGATTAATTTGATTAAGTTGTGTTTGATTCGCCTCGATTCTCTACACATTAATTACTCACCCCCATGCTGTACCAACCCCGTAAGACCTTCGTTCATCTTCGGAACACAAATGAAGATATTTTTGATTAAATTTGAGAGCTGTATAACTACCACATTGGCTCCTAAGGGACTGCCTCTTGACGGCCCAGAAAGTCAATGAAGAAAATGTTTAAATATCCCAAGTGACTACCGTGGCTCAACTATATGTTTATCAAGCGACGAGAATACTTTTTGTGCGAAAAAACAAACAAAAATAACGAGTTTATTCGACTATTTCTTTTCTTCCTTGTAGGCCAGAACGAGATTTCCTTAGATTTCCACGACGCATGCGCGAGAATTGCGATCTCCTTACACCAGCTTACACCACTTCAGATCGCAATTCTCGCGCATGCGTCGTGGAAATCTAAGGAAGTCTCGTTCTGGCCTACAAGGAAGAAAAGAAATAGTCGAATAAACTCGTTATTTTTGTTTGTTTTTTCGCACAAAAAGTATTCGCGTCGCTTGATAAACATATAGTTGAGCCACGGTAGTCACTTGGGATATTTAAACATTTTCTTCATTGACTTTCTGGGCCGTCAAGAGGCAGTCCCTTAGGAGCCAATGTGGTAGTTATACAGCTCTCAAATTTAATCAAAAATATCTTCATTTGTGTTCCGAAGACGAACGAAGGTCTTACGGGGTTGGTACAGCATGGGGGTGAGTAATTAATGACTTAACTTTCATTTTTGGGTGAACTAACCCTTTAACGGCGATAGTTTTTTTTATCGCCCGACAAGAGTCTCGCGTTAACGCCGATAACGGCCCACCCCTAGTATTTATATATACAAAATAATTATATACAGCACACACAAATATATTATGTAAACAGCGACTTTTATTTTGGATGCAATTAATCGCAATTAATTTTTGCACAGCCCTAATATATATATATATATCATTGGTGTGTGTGTGTGTGATGATGTGGTGATGATGATGATGTGATTGTGTGGTTATGTAACATTGTGATGACGTTATTGTGTGGTGATGTGATGGTGTGATATGATGATGGTATGTTGTGTCAGATTGTGTGATGTGATATTGTGATGGGTTGGGTTGTGATGTGACGGTGTTAGGATGATGTAATGAGAGGGTGTGGTAATTTGAGTGATATGATGGTGTGGTGATGTGATGGGTTGGTGATGTGATGGGCTGTGATGTTGAGCAGGTATCAAGACGGCATTAGTGGTGGGTGGGATGGCGATGCAGAAGCAGCAGCGGATGTTGATGCGACGGCCCGAGATCATCATCGCCACACCAGGACGCCTGTGGGAGTTGATCAAAGAGAGACACACACACCTGCAGGACCTGCGACAGCTGCGGTACCTCACTCACACACACAGCGCAATACACACACACTCATCACAATACACACACACCCGTCACAATATCAACACACACTCGTCACAATACACACACAGAGCGTTTGACAGAAGTGTCCATCAGCTGTCATACTGAAATCATCTCACTGTCGTCATGAGCTCAACTCTTATCATCATGATTGCCATAACAGCGTGTCCTGTGTCGGCCGAGATCATGTGACCACTGCCGCCCGTCCTCAGGTGTCTGGTGATCGACGAGGCGGACCGCATGGTGGAGAAGGGCCACTTCTCGGAGCTGGAGAGTCTGCTGGAGATGCTCAACACGTCTCAGTTCAGCCCGCGGCGGCAGACGTTCGTGTTCTCCGCTACGCTAACGCTAGTGCACAGCCTGCCGCCGCGGCTGACGCAGAAGAAGAAGAAGAGGGCGGAGCAGCGCAGCAAGCTGCAGATCCTCATGGAGAAGGTGGGCATGAGGGCCAAGCCCAAGGTCATCGACCTGACGCGCAAGGAGGCCACGGTGGAGACGCTGACGGAGAGCCGCATCAGCTGCACCAAGGAGGACAAGGACCTGTTCCTGTACTACTTCCTGCTGCAGTTCCCGGGCCGCACCATGGTGTTCGCCAACAGCATCGACTGCATCAAGCGGCTGACGGCACTGCTGCAGATCCTGGACTGCGCCCCGCTGTGTCTGCACGCCAACATGCACCAGAAGCAGCGGCTCAAGAGCCTGGAGCGCTTCGCCCAGAAGGACAGGTGAGGGACGGCACACACACGCACACACACACACACACACACACACACTCCAGATTACATGTTCATCATATTTAACTCTGTGTTCTTCAGTATTCCTTCATGTTTATGACAGCCCTAATCACACGCATCACTCACACTCATGAATATTAACACAATTATTAAGCTGTGTTACGGGGGTCAACATGTGAAGTGGATCTAAAAGTTCATCAGTTCCCAAAACAGGAACAGGTAATGTTCATAATACGGTTCACACACTTCTAATGTTCATAATACGGTTCACACACTTCTAATGTTCATAATGCGGTTCACACACTTCTAATGTTCATAATGCGGTTCACACACTTCTAATGTTCATAATGCGGTTCACACACTTCTAATGTTCATAATGCGGTTCACACACTTCTAATGTTCATAATGCGGTTCACACACTTCTAATGTTCATAATGCGGTTCACACACTTCTAATGTTCATAATGCGGTTCACACACTTCTAATGTTCATAATGCGGTTCACACACTTCTAATGTTCATAATACGGTTCACACACTTCTAATGTTCATAATACGGTTCACACACTTCTAATGTTCATAATGCGGTTCACACACTTCTAATGTTCATAATGCGGTTCACACACTTCTAATGTTCATAATGCGGTTCACACACTTCTAATGTTCATAATACGGTTCACACACTTCTAATGTTCATAATACGGTTCACACACTTCTAATGTTCATAATACGGTTCACACACTTCTAATGTTCATAATACGGTTCACACACTTCTAATGTTCATAATACGGTTCACACACTTCTAATGTTCATAATGCGGTTCACACACTTCTAATGTTCATAATGCGGTTCACACACTTCTAATGTTCATAATACGGTTCACACACTTCTAATGTTCATAATACGGTTCACACACTTCTAATGTTCATAATGCGGTTCACACACTTCTAATGTTCATAATACGGTTCACACACTTCTAATGTTCATAATACGGTTCACACACTTCTAATGTTCATAATACGGTTCACACACTTCTAATGTTCATAATACGGTTCACACACTTCTAATGTTCATAATACGGTTCACACACTTCTAATGTTCATAATGCGGTTCACACACTTCTAATGTTCATAATGCGGTTCACACACTTCTAATGTTCATAATACGGTTCACACACTTCTAATGTTCATAATGCGGTTCACACACTTCTAATGTTCATAATGCGGTTCACACACTTCTAATGTTCATAATGCGGTTCACACACTTCTAATGTTCATAATGCGGTTCACACACTTCTAATGTTCATAATGCGGTTCACACACTTCTAATGTTCATAATGCGGTTCACACACTTCTAATGTTCATAATGCGGTTCACACACTTCTAATGTTCATAATGCGGTTCACACACTTCTAATGTTCATAATACGGTTCACACACTTCTAATGTTCATAATACGGTTCACACACTTCTAATGTTCATAATACGGTTCACACACTTCTAATGTTCATAATGCGGTTCACACACTTCTAATGTTCATAATGCGGTTCACACACTTCTAATGTTCATAATGCGGTTCACACACTTCTAATGTTCATAATGCGGTTCACACACTTCTAATGTTCATAATGCGGTTCACACACTTCTAATGTTCATAATGCGGTTCACACACTTCTAATGTTCATAATACGGTTCACACACTTCTAATGTTCATAATACGGTTCACACACTTCTAATGTTCATAATACGGTTCACACACTTCTAATGTTCATAATGCGGTTCACACACTTCTAATGTTCATAATGCGGTTCACACACTTCTAATGTTCATAATGCGGTTCACACACTTCTAATGTTCATAATACGGTTCACACACTTCTAATGTTCATAATGCGGTTCACACACTTCTAATGTTCATAATACGGTTCACACACTTCTAATGTTCATAATGCGGTTCACACACTTCTAATGTTCATAATGCGGTTCACACACTTCTAATGTTCATAATGCGGTTCACACACTTCTAATGTTCATAATGCGGTTCACACACTTCTAATGTTCATAATGCGGTTCACACACTTCTAATGTTCATAATGCGGTTCACACACTTCTAATGTTCATAATGCGGTTCACACACTTCTAATGTTCATAATGCGGTTCACACACTTCTAATGTTCATAATGCGGTTCACACACTTCTAATGTTCATAATGCGGTTCACACACTTCTAATGTTCATAATGCGGTTCACACACTTCTAATGTTCATAATGCGGTTCACACACTTCTAATGTTCATAATGCGGTTCACACACTTCTAATGTTCATAATGCGGTTCACACACTTCTAATGTTCATAATGCGGTTCACACACTTCTAATGTTCATAATGCGGTTCACACACTTCTAATGTTCATAATGCGGTTCACACACTTCTAATGTTCATAATGCGGTTCACACACTTCTAATGTTCATAATGCGGTTCACACACTTCTAATGTTCATAATGCGGTTCACACACTTCTAATGTTCATAATGCGGTTCACACACTTCTAATGTTCATAATGCGGTTCACACACTTCTAATGTTCATAATGCGGTTCACACACTTCTAATGTTCATAATGCGGTTCACACACTTCTAATGTTCATAATGCGGTTCACACACTTCTAATGTTCATAATACGGTTCACACACTTCTAATGTTCATAATGCGGTTCACACACTTCTAATGTTCATAATACGGTTCACACACTTCTAATGTTCATAATGCGGTTCACACACTTCTAATGTTCATAATGCGGTTCACACACTTCTAATGTTCATAATGCGGTTCACACACTTCTAATGTTCATAATGCGGTTCACACACTTCTAATGTTCATAATGCGGTTCACACACTTCTAATGTTCATAATGCGGTTCACACACTTCTAATGTTCATAATGCGGTTCACACACTTCTAATGTTCATAATGCGGTTCACACACTTCTAATGTTCATAATGCGGTTCACACACTTCTAATGTTGACGACTGTGAGTAAGAGAGTTATCTTCACCTGAAGTGCATCATGGGTGTTTGGCTTCGGCGCAGAATCTGAATCTCGGTGCGTCACTAATGAACAGTCACACGGAATAAACTTCAGACACTAGGGGTGTGTGTGTGTGTGTGTGTGTGTGTGTCAGCACTGACTCTCTCTCTCTCCTCTCTCAGTTGTGTTCTGCTCACCACAGACGTCTCGGCTCGAGGGCTGGACATCCCCAACGTTCAGCATGTGATCCACTATCAGGTACTGTGTGTGTGTGTGTGTGTGTGTGTGTGTGTGTGATCTCTCTCTGAGCACCTCATCATCTGTGTGTGTGTGTGTGTGTGTAGGTTCCGCGCACCTCTGAGACGTATGTCCACCGCAGCGGGCGCACGGCTCGGGCCGCTCGAGAGGGTCTCAGTCTGCTGCTGATCGGGCCGGACGACCTGATGAACTTCAGGAAGATCTGCAGGACGCTGGACAAGAGCGAAGACCTGCCCGTGTTCCCCGTGCAGAGCAAGTGCATGGCGGCCATTAAAGTATGCTGGGGCACAGTCATCACACACACACACACACCCTCATCTGGCTCCTGAACTCAGTTGAACAGTGCATCTGCTTCTGTCCTCTAAGAGAAGAGTAGAGATCATGATCATATCTCCTGTACGCCGCACACTAGTCTGAGGGATGAGCTCAGCGCTTTCAGAGTTCAGCCGTTCACCTCCACAAACACTTTTTCAGCTTTTTAATTCTGTGCTTCATCTAATAGACGCTGATGTGCTTTAAATAATGAATCCTCCTCTACTGAGCGGCGTACGTCCCTCAAATAGCCGTTGTAAAGCGTTTACTTAAAAAGAACAACCTGGATGGGTCCTTAACGACAGACCCTTATCAAATTTATCTTTCATCTGTAAAATAATTGAAAAAATTGTTTTTAATGAAGTGTCTGCTGTTCTAACCTCTACTTCCTGTTTTGATCTCAAGCAGTCAGGTTGTAGAAAATAGCACTGAAACAGCCCTGGGTAAAGTAGCCCACGACGTTCGGCTAAATCACGACGCTGGAAAACCCGTTCTTATGCTGACCTCAGCGCGGCGCTCGACACTGACGGATGATTTAATCCATGCCAGTTTAGGGTTGGGTATCGAGAATCGAGTATCGATTGGAACCGAGACTAACTTTTCGTTTTTCCCGGAATTGTTCAAAAGTAAAAATTTCGATTCCTAGTTTCGATATTCACAGTCCGCTGAGCGGAAGAAGAAACAGTTGAACAACACCAACGAAGAAGCGTCTACCGGAAGTGTTGGCATAACCGCGCGAGTCGAACATGAGTAGCTTACGTCGGCGATCCAAAGTGTGACTTCACTTTTCTAAAAATTAACGAAATCTCGGCAAAATGCAAAATTTGTGACAGAAGGAGTATTTCCTTCAGAAAGGCCGTTGGTTAGCAAGGTTAGCTAAACTTTTTTTGACCCTGCCTCTTAAAAGAATCAAAATCGAGAATCGTTAGGAACCGGAATCGAAACAAGGAATCGGAATCAGAATCGTTCAAATTCAAACGATACCCAACCCTAATGCCAGTGCAGTTCCACTAACGCCAACATGTTTTTCGAGTGTATTTAAAAGAATGTCGTGATCAGTGGTATTTTTTTAACAAGCGGTTTAATCATAACCAGCTTAAAGGTTTTTGGTACGTAAGCTAGAGACAAAGATGAGTTAATGATGTTGAGAAGAGGATCTCTGACCTCTGGAAGCATCTCTTTCATCAGCTTAATCCGTATAGGGTTGAACATGCATATTGTTGATTTAAATAATTTAATGAGTTTAGAAAATTCTTCCTCTCCTTCAGCAATGAATGAATCAACTTTTAGCAAACCACATCCATCCAATCAATTCCCCAATCAAGCCCCGCCCACATGTGTTAATGTCCACTCGCATATTCAGATTGATGTTGACCTGCGGTCGGTCCACTAGCGCTGTGGTCGCGCCGCCTGACGTGTGTTTCCCTCACAGGAGCGTGTGACTCTGGCCAGGAGGATCGAGAAGATGGAGTTCTTCCACAGCCGGGAGACGCAGCACAACTCCTGGGTCCGGCAGGCGGCCGAGGCCATGGACATCGACGTGGACGACGACCTGCTGATGGGTACGAGCCTCTGAAGCCGCATGAGCGGTGTTTACAGTGTGACCTTTCACCCCTGACCTGTGGCCTGTGTTTCAGGAGGCGTTAAAGATGAGGAGGATGACCGTGAGCAGCAGAAGCTGATGAAGAGCCTGAAGAACCAGCTCAAGCAGCTGATCTCCCAGCCGGTCTTCAGACACCAGATGAAGACCAGATACCCCACGCAGATGGGCAAACTGACCCTGCCTCAGCTGCCCCTCGCCACCGCCGACACTGCCCTCGCCAGCGTGAGCCGCGACAGGAGCAGCGCCACACTGCAGCGCTGACGGGGTCAAACAGAGGATGGCGGGACCTCTGGGACTTTCCAATCATCTGAATCCTGTCAGGAAGCAGAGGGACGTCTGGGACTGAAGATCACGACCCCGCTGAGAGACGAGGAGTGCGTCCAGTGTTCTGTGTCTCGTGGTGTCCTCTTCATGGGCTGATCTGTGCCCTTTGTAAATGACTGCCGTTAGAAGTGTATTGAACACAGACCTGATGTTTATATATAAGAAATAATCAACCAGAGATCTTGTAGACTTGGTTTTAAAGAAAGTTTTTCTTTAGTTAACTCATATTTTCTCCATTTGGACGTTTCACTCAAACATTCTCACATGTTTTACTCCCGTCGTTTCTAACCCATGTGACCGCCGCTTAAAGGGTTAATTCACCCAAAAATGAAAATTCTGTCAGTATTTACTCGCCCTCATGTTGTTCCAAACCTCTATGTGTTTATTTTTTTTTTCTGCTGAACACAAAGGAAGATATTTGGAAGAATGTTTTAATCAAACAGATCTCATTCCCCATTGACTACCATAATAGGAAAAAATACATACTATGGTAGTCAATGGGGAATGAGATCTGTTTGATTAAAACATTCTTCTAAATATCTTCCTTTGTGTTCAGCAGAACAAATAAACACATAGAGGTTTGGAACAACATGAGGGTTAGTAAAGACTGACAGAATTTTCATTTTTGGGTGAATTAACCCTTTAAAGGCTGAAGATGCTCATAAACATGTGCTTTAGTATATTTCATCAGATAATGAGTGATTCAACTGAGCCGTCACACTGATTACAGTGACATACTGATTAGCCAGTTGTTTGTTGCATAATAAAAACATGTGAATGGGATTATTTGATCATCTCTTAAATGCACATTCATTTGAGTTTAATGTGCAGCGTCTCTAACAGTCTCTCATTCAGTGTTGATAAACAGCAGGAACAGTCCGAAGCATTGAGCTGTCTCACACTGATTCTGTCGAGTAAGGAAACTTGTTTCAGCCTCAGAATAAAACGATTTAAAATGTAATTAATTTATAATCTGACTACTTTTCTCAGAATTATGAGATAAAAAGTTGCAGAATTCATTAGGGGGGGGTCAAGCCTTCATTAGGCCGTGTGTCCACCAAAGCGTTTTTCCACGCGCCTGGCGTATGTTTTCAATTGTTTTCAATGGGAGTGCCGCGTGAACGTTTTTTTCACGCTGAAGTGCCGAGCACCCGGCGTTTTTACTGGTCGCTGGGAGTTGAAAATGTTCAACTTTGGATAAAACGCAGCGCTCATCACTGTCACTTTTTACCCAGCCGTCCAATCACAGTGGAGGAGGGGCGGGACTAATACCACACCGACCAACTGTCACAACATTCAACTGCTGCGGACATTCTGTATCATAGCAACGAAACGTCTCAACAGAAAAAATTCTGCGCTGCCAAAACGCTCTCAAGCGCCCAAAGCACGGCGTCTTCAGCAGAGCGGCTAGCGTCTTCAGCTGGATACAAACGCTTTGGTGGACACACGGCCTAAGTGAGGGTCAACCACAATTCTTCAGACTGTTACCAATTAAATCCTTTTCAACCATCAACTAAAGCCATTTCTACACTGCACATGTGGAACAGGAGCTGCACATGATATGCATTTATGTTTATTTAGGAGTCAAAAATACAAAGGAGTTCACATCCCAAACCCCCTAACTGGCCTCAGGTGCAGGACAACAAAAAAGCCTTCATTAGGGGATCAAGCCTTCATTAGGGAGGACCAAGCATTCTTAAGGGGATATCAAGCCTACATTAGAAGGGATCAAGCCTCCATAAGGGGGTCTGACCCCCAAACCCCCCTGTAATTTGCACCCTATATCTGAACCAAACGCTGGTACTGAACTCTCACAGTCTGGTGGTGTGAGCGGCTGCAACCGTGTCCATCTACTGCAGCATCTTCATCCCTGTGGCTCCGCTGCTCCTGCTCTTCATCCCTGTGGCTCCGCTGCTCCTGCTCTTCATCCCTGTGGCTCCGCTGCTCCTGCTCTTCATCCCTGTGGCTCCGCTGCTCCTGCTCTTCATCCCTGTGGCTCCGCTGCTCCTGCTCTTCATCTGGGTTCTGCCAGAGTTGCTCTTCTTCGCTGTCGCAGCACTGCTGTCTGTGACTCTCATAGCTCTTCTCTCCAGGTCTGCTTTCTCCACCATGAACTCCTTTGAAAGCATGTGAAGAAAGAAGCAAGTTACTGATTGAGTTTGAGTAAGTGGCGTCGGTTGAAAGTCACTGAAGCTCCGGCACCTTTATCATGTCCATCATGGTGGCTGCGTCCATGCCGTCCAGAGGGCCGTAGTGGCTCAGGTAACACTGCTCTCCGAGGTTTCTCACGGCTATCAGGATGTTCCCTACTTCCTCCACCTGCAGAAGAAACCGCAACATCTCAAACATAAACCATGCTTTTGTCTTTCCATCACAATGACAGTCCAGTGAACAGAAGAGGGATAGAAGCATGTCATTTTACTGTATTGCTGTATTTTTATTTGCCTCCTTATGTTTAGATGTGACCGTAGTTAGACTGGAGTAGGAGCAAGACCGACGGGATTCAGGATTTTATAGCAAAATCAGAATGCACACGATCTCGAGTTTCACGTGAGAATAAACATGTTCACTGCATAGACTTCACTCATGTTTAGCTTCGATGTGAATTTGTTGCGCTAAAGAACAGAAATCGAGAAAGAACGAGACATTGTGTCAGCTACACTGTGGGAACTCCTCCCCTTCTCCTCTTAAATGAACTGGACATTGTCATGAAATATGCAAATGCATGCAAATACTGGCAGGCTAGAGGCAGTGTAAAATACTCTGCATCAGAATCCACGACTGAACGCTTGCACAGCCGGAAGCGGTGGGTGGCTAACCCAATGCCTCTTTCCCGCCTCTCGGGGAACCGAGGTTACGACAGTAACCAGAGACTTTCCCTTTCAAGAACGGTCTCTTCTATATTGTGTCAGTTACAAAACTGCCCTTCCCTTGGTGTCGGAAAGCGGCAGAACAGTTGACATACTTCCGCAAAGCCATCCTGGAAGGAGCCTTCTGGAAGCCAAAGCTGCTTCAATGTATATCTAGTGAGTGGTTATAATCAAGGTATTAATCAATCGTTTTCCTTCTAAATATGACCCGAAGTTGAATGACTTCTCTAGGCTCATGAGATTTTACTTTGTTCTAGAAGTTTCCAGTGTGATTACTGAAATGTTCTTTCATGTATTCTCTAATGTCTGTAACTGAAGACTGAAGGGTCTGGCCCATGCCAGGAATACAGTAACAGTGCTTGATCATTTAGCCCCGCGTCCAGAGATGAAATATGGACTCGTTTTGTTTGAACATGTGTATCTTAAGGGTCACTGGAACCAATATTTTAACATTTCTTTAAAGTCCTTCCTTTACTGTCAGATTAAAGTGTCCTCTGATTGAGAGAAAGAACATGTTCTCTTGATGTTTTGAAGACTCTCCTGTTTAGAGCCTGAACAAATCCAGCCTTGAAGAAGCAGTGTGTGTGTGTGTGTGTGTGTGTGTGTGTTAGTATTCTTGGTTTCAGGTTAAGGAACACGTGGCATTGTTAGAGATGGACTGACTTGTTATCTTCGACATGTAACGCAGATCTGCAACCTGGAAGTTTCAGCTGCATAATCGATGATATGCTTCAGTCTTTCTGTTTGTGTGGATCGTTACTGTTTATCTATTTCTTTATGGGCCATCAGGGAGACGGCTTGGCAGCCGGGGACGGCCCACGGCTCCTCCTGGGTCTGACGTCTCCTCACGGGTCCGTCATCTGGTTCAGGGCGGGCCGCAGAAGAAGAGCATGATCGATGACATCAGGTGACTCATTGCCTTTGCACGTTTCTAAGCCTCGGCAAAACGTTCGATGACTGACACGCCGTCACCGAAGAGGCTGGAGTTTCGCTGTCAGAGTCTCTAAAGTAAGCTAAAGTAAGCACAAATGCTTGTGGAGAACCACTATGAAGCTCATGGATCGGCCAATGGCGTTCAGTCCGTCGCCGCACTCTTTAATGGAGTCCGCGCTGGTGCCGCCGCTGTCCGAACACCTGCAACCACGCCAGATGCCCAACAGCACCAATGAGCAGCCACGGTCTCCTCCAAAACGCTCATTCCTGAAACCGACTGGGGGAAACCTTATCATCTTCCCGAAGGAGGGAAGGGCCTCAGGGCACGAACCGAACCGGCCGGTTGCATGTTATACTGCCGCTAGCCTGTCAGTGTTTGCATGCATTTGCATATTTAGTGTCAATTGCATTTACATTCTGAACCCCATAATGATTACTAAACCAACAATGTTAACCCGTTTACCGGAGTACATCCGGACAGAGCCAGCGTTTATATTTCGAGTCTTTCTGCTTATTTAACATCACATCTCACACAACAAATGAAGTCAGATACACGAACGATTAGGTTTTGACATCATCACAGGGCAATAACCTGATTATTACTATTCTAATGAATGCAGTTAACTTGTCCGTCATGCAAACGGATCCGTCAGACGCGTGTCTCTCGCTAGATTTCTCTACATTTAGCCGAGTGATTGGTGGCTCGCCAGTTTGTTATTCTCTAATACATAAAATAAGTGAGCTTAACCAGAGTTCTTGAGTGGATTTACTGAAGATAGTAGTGTAGCAGTTCTTCAGCAGCGATGATGTAATCTCGTCCTTCGAATAATCTGAACCCAAACTTTATACCAGAGTAAAGAAGTGATTGGACCATATAACGTCCTAAAAACACATAATGCTCTAGATTGGTGTGGGCCGTCATACACCTGTATGGGCATTTAGACACAGATAGAGTTGATTGCATTCTGAGGCGCGGTTGGTCACAACGTAAACGCGTCTGACAAAAGATGACTGAGAAAACACAATCTCAAGCACACCTGAGCGAGTTGATCAAGGTCTTCAGGATCTCTATAAGACCTGAGGTCGTGAGTTTGACCTCGTGAGGTCTGAGTGTTTGTACTGTGAGGGCTCAGACCTGGTCTCTGGACTGGGACATGTGCATGCGAAGCGTCATCTCCAGCTGCTTGTTCTTCTCACTGGTCTGATCCAGCTGCGTCTGTAGCTCCGACAGCTCCTGGTTGGTCGTCTGCCTCGAGCACAAAAACACGTCAGTACGTCACGCGTGTGTACCGAGCCTGTAACGCTGCTCCCTGATGTGCGTGTACCAGTTTATAGGTGTTGTGCTGGTGTTTGAGGGCGTCAAGCTGCTCCTGGCTCGTCTTCATCTCGTCCGTCAGGCTGTTTAACTGCAGCAGAAGATCCTGTCGGCTGACGCTCAGAGTCTCGTAGCGTCTGATGATCGCCGTCACCAGCTCCGTCCGGTACCCTAGATAGTCTGCACAGCGGGGTTAGACTAAAGGCCCGCTCACACCAAGAACCGGCACTATATCAGCATAACCGTAACCTAATTTTATTTGCATGCACATAAAGAAAATTATATTTTATTTAAGAACAATTGTTTCAACAGTTAATGCACTTTGAAAAGTAAAAGATGTGACACTTGATTTGGTTTATATTTGCTTTTATTGTGCTCGCTTGCGGCCTCTTGTGGACACAGGAGACAATACAGCATTGTCCTCCTCTAACGTAGGATTGCATAAAGATATAGTATCTTTAGAATTCGAATATAACTCGAATTTTGCTAATATATAAGAAAGAAATTAGAATTTCTTCAGCCCTGGTTTATTATAATGCTGCAGTCTGTCGCTTTAAATGCTCGAGTTCTTTAAAGCAGGGTGGATTCTGATTGGCTGTCAATGTTTTTATCATTCATAAGCTGGAAATTAGTTTTGAAAGAGATTACAGTGGCATCGTTCCTGTGTCATTACCGTTATAGTAGTGTTGTGAACGGCCTATAGACTGAATAAAATGTTCTTACTGTCTGGAAGTAAATCAAGTGTCTTCATCAGAAAGTCCTCGAATATCTTAAATTTGTTCACTCGCTCTTTCAAATACAGTCGTCTGTTGAGTAGAGAAACATGATTAAAGCACAGTCAGAATATTTCAGATTTAGTGTAAACTGGTTTGAGGTGTGTGTGTGTGTGTGTGTGTGATCTTGCACTCGTCAGTACGGCTGTAAACGACTGGACTGTCCTCTCTGGTTACCTTGCCTGTAAGTCCTGGAGCAGTGAGCACAGTTCAGCTTTCTCCTTTTCCTTCAGCTCGATCTGCTGTCTCTCCGTCTGGAACTTCTTCAGCGCACGGCGACGTTTCAGCTCGTTCTCCTCCACAAACTTCTCAAACTCGGCTGCCCTTTGTTTCGTCTGTGTGAGGAGACGTGATCTCAACACCGGTTTCATCCACTATACAACGTACCGTAACCCCAAACAAACCGCTGGAGGGTTTATCTGTTTATAACGATATAACGTTTGCTCTGAAAGATATATAAACCATATTGTTTCTCTGTGCAGTTGTAGTTATAGTTGAGGTGTGGACTCTGTTATTCTTTGACATTTAGAACGATCTTTATTGTTATTTTATCGTCCTTGATGTGAACAGACTGTGTCTGACAGTACACGCTGACTGTGAATGCATGTAAGAGTTTCTCAGCAGCAGGAGTCACTCCTACAGAGCAGAACCCTAGTGTCCAACATGTGTAAGTGCAGGAGAACCCGGACCCTCGCTCACCTCTGTCTGTCTCTGCTGTAGCTGCGCTCTTCTCTCCCGCAGGAGCTTCATGCAGTCGTGAACCTGCTGTCGTTTGTCCATCAGCTGCGTGTTCATCTCGTCCACCTCCACATGCTTCTTCAGGACCAGTGTGGACTGCAATGTGTTCACGCCCGTCTCCAGGAGCCCGCTGGAGCCCTGCAGCACACCACATCACCACCACATCACCATCACATCACAGCTCATCACCATCGCATCACCATCACATCACAGCTCATCACCATCACAGCTCATCACATCACCATCACAGCTCATCACCATCACATCACCACCACATCACCATCGCATCACCATCACATCACCACCACATCACAGCTCATCACCATCACAGCTCATCACCACCACATCACCATCACATCACCACCACATCACCATCACATCACAGCTCATCACCATCGCATCACCATCACATCACAGCTCATCACCATCACATCACAGCTCATCACCATCACATCACAGCTCATCACCATCACATCACCACCACATCACCATCACATCACAGCTCATCACCATCGCATCACCATCACATCACAGCTCATCACCATCACAGCTCATCACATCACCATCACAGCTCATCACCATCACATCACCACCACATCACCATCGCATCACCATCACATCACCACCACATCACCACCACATCACAGCTCATCACCATCACAGCTCATCACCACCACATCACCATCACATCACCACCACATCACCATCACATCACAGCTCATAACCATCGCATCACCATCACATCACAGCTCATCACCATCACATCACCATCACATCACAGCTCATCACCATCACATCACAGCTCATCACCATCGCATCACCATCACATCACCATCACATCACAGCTCATCACCATCGCATCACCATCACATCACAGCTCATCACCATCACATCACAGCTCATCACCATCGCATCACCATCACATCACCACCACATCACATCACAGCTCATCACCATCGCATCACCATCACATCACAGCTCATCACCATCACATCACAGCTCATCATCATCACATCACAGCTCATCACCATAACATCACCATCACATCACAGCTCATCACCATCACATCACAGCTCATCACATCACCACCACATCACCATCACAGCTCATCACCATCACATCACAGCTCATCACCATCGCATCACCATCACATCACAGCTCATCACCATCACATCACAGCTCATCACCATCGCATCACAGCTCATCACCATCACATCACAGCTCATCACCATCACATCACAGCTCATCACCATCACATCACAGCTCATCACCATCACAGCTCATCACCATCGCATCACCATTACATCACAGCTCATCACCATCACATCACAGCTCATCACCATCACAGCTCATCACTATCGCATCACCATCACATCACAGCTCATCACCATCACAGCTCATCACCATCACAGCTCATCACCATCACATCACCACCACATCACCATCACAGCTCATCACCATCACAGCTCATCACCATCGCATCACCATCACATCACAGCTCATCACCATCACCATCACAGCTCATCACCATCACATCACCATTACATCACAGCTCATCACCATCACATCACCACCACATCACCATCACATCACAGCTCATCACCATCGCATCACCATCACAGCTCATCACCATCACATCACAGCTCATCACCATCGCATCACCATCACATCACAGCTCATCATCATCACATTACCACCACATCACCATCACATCACAGCTCATCACCATCACATTACCACCACATCACCATCACATCACAGCTCATCACCATCATATCACCATTACCATGAGAGTGGCTGAACTATAAGTTTATCAAGCGACGAGAATACTTTTTTGTGCGAAAAAACAACAACAAAAAAATAACGACTTTATTCGACTATTCCTTTTCTTCCTTGTAGGCCTGAGACGAGAGTTCAAGATATTTCCACGACGCATGCGCGAGAACTGAACTGAAGGAGTTGAAGGAGATCGCAGTTCTTGCGCATGCGTCGTGGAAATATCTTGTCACATGGAATATTTAAACATTTTCTTTAATGACTTTCTGGGCCGTCAAGTTTCAATCTCTTAGGAGCCTATGTGGCAGTGATCCACCTCTCAGATTTAATCAAAAATATCTTCATTTGTGTTCCGAAGACGAACGAAGGTCTTACGGGGTTGGTACAGCATGGGGGTGAGTAATTAATGACTTAATTTTCATTTTTGGGTCAACTAACCCTTTAATTCAACTTTGTAATTATTTGTGAAACTAACTATTTGAGTGAAAATGATTTTTGATGATGATGAAATCCTACACAGATTTTTTTGAAGGTGTGTGTGAGTGTGTGTGTGTGTGCTGTAGTCGATCTCATACAAACCTCTGTTATTACAGGAATGTGCTTTATGTGCTCATCCTTCTGCTCTCTGTCATGACAAAAACAGCAGACCATTAACGTTACCAGAGACCTCACTAGGCTTTATGACGTGATTTAAGCAGAGAAACACTATAAAGTATAAGCATCTGTACCTGTGCTCCTCTAACTGCGTTACAAACACGTTCTTCTTTCTGTTCTCCACTTTTAGCTTTAGATCTGCGTCTGTTTTCAGAGCGGGTAAAGTTAGCGACTCCATGAGTCACAGCAGAGCCCGAGAGAGAGAGAGAGAGAGAGAGTAACACAGAGTGACTGTACGCGTGTTCGAGGCGCATTAATGTTGAGGTTTCTGTAATCGCTGTATTCGCTGATCTCGCTTTAGATGTTGCTCGGAAACACAACAAGAGTCCGGGCTCGGGGGGACGCGCCACTGTTGTCATGGTAACTGAGCGGAAGTATCGTAGACTCAGAAGCTGCGCGTCCACAGTGTGGCGCTGTCGAGTCATCAACTGGGTGCCCTTCTATGCCCTTCAGTCTATTTGTTCTCTCCCTTGTCATGTGAACAGTGTAACGTAGAGGATGTCTTTTTGGATGATGTACGGGAGGTGTGATTCTTGGTTTGTAATACAATAAGATCTATATTGTACATTTTGAGAATGTCATATGTTTTTTTTTTCTTTGTTAGATTTCTTTATTGTTTATAGTAATAAGAAAAAGTTCAATAAACAAGTCCCCCAAACTTTTTTTTTTTATTAAAAGTAAAGAACATTACAAAGTAGCACAAAAAATAAATAAATAATAAAAAAATATCAAAAAATAATCAACAGTAGGCCTACAGTTAAAGTAGTAAAAAACAACACAGGACATTTAATCACATAAACACATTAAAAGTAGAACAAATAACCACAGTTTAACAGCTTTTTTGTTTTTATACTGTTCAGTTCAGTTTTTAGCACAGAAAAAAATAGTTTTTTTATTACTGAATTCACATTTATGGATATGGAAGTTGGCAAAAACGATTAGGTTTACTAGAAAGAGTGCACTACTGTCCTTCCCACAGTCACTAAAACAACCAAAAATTACATTTTTGTAGTACAGGGAGAACTCAGGAAGAAAATTTTCAACTAAAAATGAATTAATGTCTTTCCAGAACTTATATGTGAATTCACAAGACCAAAATAAATGTGAGATAGTTTCAGGATGTAAACCACAAAAGGAGCATTTTATATCAATGTCATTGTAGCGGCTGTAGACCAGGCAAAATTATCTTTGCAGCCGCGAGAGACTAAACACTGGGAGAATGAATGCACTGCGACGCGCAGAAACAGTTTCACACAGCGATCCACTCATTTATTGCTTCTTGCACATAAAATACAACTGTTAACCAGTTACCAGTTCATAAGTGCAGTGTGATTGCATAAAGTGCGGTCAACAGAAAGTGTTCGCTCCCAGGCTCACTCCCTCTCTGTCAAAGCCCCCATACTCAGGTGCACAGGTGTAGCAAACAAATACGTGCAAGAAACACATCACTTCCGCCCAAGCCCCGGTAGACACGCCCACCACCTACAATCTGAGTGCAGTAAAAATAATGAATGAGACCATAAAACCATAGGAGACTTACAGTTGGCTCTTACATTCCGGCCCCTAATTATTTTAACAGAATAATTATACAACTGCACATTATGTAAGAGATCAACAATATGATTTTTTTTTTTTTTTTACATAAAACAGTCCCTTCGAAAGTGTCTTTTCTTCTTTAGATCAAACAAGAGACAGAGTCCTTTGTCTTTGTAAAAAGTGATCTTCACAATCACTTAATCATGTAATGTAAAAAGGTCTATATAATAATGTCAAGATTAAAGTCAAAGTCTAAGAAGTTCGAAGGTCAGCTGGATATCCTCATGGCTCCTCTGCTTCCTGTAGAAGGCAAATCTTGGTGATAGGCCTATCCAAATAACTGGTCTTCGTCCTAATTCGCACTTGACGAACAAGTCCTCTTCTGTCAGGGAGAGTTTGCACAATCCTTCCTGTAAGCCATGAGTTGCGAGGTGCTGAGTCGTCAACTATGAGTACAATATCTCCAGTTTGGAAGTTGCGCTTGATACCAGACCACTTCTGACGCTCCTGAAGAAGAGGCAAGTATTCCTTAATCCAACGTTTCCAGAACAAGTCAGATATATACTGAACTTGTTTCCATCTGCGACGAGCGTAGATGTCCTCCTTTTTGAACTGACCCGGTGGCAAAGATGGCATGATCTTGAGCAGCAACAGATGGTTAGGGGTTAATGGTTCCAAATCATTGGGATCAGTGGATGCCTTGGTAATAGGACGGCTGTTGACAATAGCTTCTGCTTCACACAGAACTGTGTGAAGACTCTCCTCATCAAGGGTCTGCAACTTCAGGGTGGAATTCAGGACCTTCCTCACAGATCTTATCAACCTTTCCCAAACCCCGCCATGATGTGACCCTGTGGGGGGGTTGAAAACCCAATTAATTCCCTTTTGAAGGAGGGTGTTATTAATTAGGGTATGATTCCAACTTTCCATTGCCTCTCTCAATTCTCTCTCGGCACCAACAAAGTTGGTTCCATTATCTGAACGCAGTTCCAATACTTGTCCACGTCTTGCTGTAAAGCGTCGAAGAGCATTGATAAAAGAATCTGTGTCCAAGGATGATGCAACTTCTATGTGGATCGCTCTTATGGAAAGGCATGTGAAGAGAACCCCATACCTCTTCAATATACTCCTTCCTCGCTTAACTTCAAAAGGTCCGAAGTAATCAACTCCGACCCGAGTGAATGGAGGTTCATCTGATGAAACTCTGTCCTGAGGTAAATCTGCCATCTGTTGTTGGCCTGGAGCTGCATGCAGTCGTCGACAGACAATACATTTAGACAGGATTTTTCTTATAGCCACACTAGCCCCAGGGATCCAATACCTTTGGCGCAGACAAGCCAGCATGTGGTTACGACCACTGTGTCCCACCTCTTGATGTATGTGCTGAAGAATTATGTTGGAAATGTGTAAATCCTTTGCCAATATGGCAGGATGCTTAGCTTCTTCCGGCATAGCTGCTCTGCTAAGTCGTCCTCCAACTCTCAAAACACCATCTTCAAGTATTGGGTTGAGTTTGTAAATGTGACTAGTCCTTTTCACACTTTCGCCCTTTCGCAGACTGTTGAATTCCCCAGGAAACCTCCTTCTCTGGCAAAACTTAATAATCTCCATCTCAGCCTTTCTAAGTTCCTCAATTGAAAGAAGACCACTGGCGGTCTTAGCCTTGATACTCTGCATCTCCTTTTCTATTTCTTTTCCCTGTTGGTCCTTGTCCAAGCCAGAATGAGCAAGAGTCATACTCAGTTGCTTCCTTTTCTGACTAAAGTACAGTAGTAGACTCTTCAGCTTAAGGATCCAACCAACCATCTTCTTCAGACGGATCCAAGAGGAGAAGTAGTTAATCAAGCGAGTGACTGCATCGATCTTCTCTTCAGCCTGCACAGCATTCACAATCAAGACCCTCTTAACCTCAGGGTCATCTGGTGGAATTCTCACATGGCCATCCGGGTTTTCAGGCCAGCCCTCTTCAGGCCCAACCAGAAATTGAGGTCCAGACACCCATATGTTATCTCTCAGAAGTGATGTCACCTTTACTCCCCTAGAGGCTAAATCAGCAGGATTATTTGTGGTGTTAACATATCTCCATTGAGATGGACTAGATACACTCAGTATCTTTGAAACCCGATTGGCTACAAAGGTACGAAACCTTGAGGTCTCATTGCTGATGTACTTCAGTACAGAAGTACTGTCTGTCCAAAAAATTGAGTCTTGAAGTTCCATCTTTAGCTCCTTCCTCCAGAGCTCATCCATTCGACCTGCAACCATGGCAGCCGTCAACTCCATGCGAGGGATGGTGATTGTTTTTAATGGAGCCACTCTGGCCTTTCCCATTATGAAAGTACAGTGAACTTTTCTCTCTATGTTGTTTAATAACAAGTAAGTCACTGTTCCATAGCCGCTCTCACATGCATCCGCAAAGTGATGTAACTGAGCAGAAATCACTTCCCCAAAATCCATTGGTTTTAGGCATCTGTCAACCTCAAACTTTTCAAGCTGCCAGAGCTCCTTCAACCAACCTCTCCACTCCTGTGCAGACAAGTCGGGTATAAGATCGTCCCAACCAAGGTCTTTTCTACACAAGTCTTGAAGGATCTTTTTGGCAGATAAGACCACAGGTGCCAACATTCCTAAAGGGTCATAGATTGAACTGACCGTGGAGAGAATCCCTCTTCTGGTTAAGGGTCGATCTTTGATGAGGACTTTGAACTTAAAAGTGTCAGACTGAACACACCACTGTACGCCCAATGCTCTTTCTACAGGAAGGGTGTCATTGTTCAAATCCAAATCCTTAACCTCTTTTGCTCTCTCTGTTGCAGGAATTGCTGCCAGCACGGTACGTCTATTGCTGATCCACTTCATGAGCTGAAAGCCCCCTTTCGAACAAAGGACGCGAAGGTCCTGGTAAAGCGCTATTGCTTCCTCCTCAGAAGCCACTGATGTAAGGCAATCATCCACATAGAAATTGTGGAGGACTGTTTCGATTACTTTGAAGCTAAATTGCTCTCGATTATCCTCTGCACACTTTCTAAGAGCAAAACTTGCACAACTTGGCGAAGATGTGGCCCCGAACAGATGCGCTACCATTCTGTACTCCACTAGGCTTTGCTTATGGTCTCCATCCGGCCACCAGAGAAACCTCAACAGATCTGAATCCTCAACTGGTACTCTGACTTGGTGGAACATAGCCTCAATGTCTGCCATGAGTACAACAGGCTCTTTTCTAAATCTGGTCATGACTCCAATTAACATGCTGGTAAGATCGGGTCCCTGTAAGAGTTGAGCATTTAAAGATGTTCCCTGGAATGTAGCTTTGCAGTCAAAAACGACCCTGATTTTGCCCTTCTTCGGGTGATATACCCCATGATGTGGTATATACCATACCCTGTTGTCGCTCCGATCCAGATTCTCAATTGGGACCTTCTCAGCATAGCCCTTGGAGATGATGTCATTCATAAATACTGTGTAATCAGCATGAAATGTAGCGTCCTTTTCAAACCTCCTTGTGAGGCTCATAGCACGCTGTTCGGCAACTTTTCTATTGTTTGGCATATTCACATCTTTTTTTCTTAAAGGTAAGCCAATACTATAATGGCCATCCACCAACTTAGCAGATTTTGTCACAAACTCCATGAATTGACAATCTTCTCTTGATAACCCCATCTGCTCATCCTGGCTACATTCAGGAAAATCAGCCTTTAGCTGCTCATTCCACAGATCCTTGAGGTTTGCAATAGAGATCCTATTGACAGTGACATCTGGCTGTCCACTAGTAATTTCTCTACATTCATCGCGTCTAAGAGGTCCATTTAC